TCACAAACTTAACGAATTGGCTAAACAATCATTCGGTCAATTTTTCACTAAATGTCAAAAAATTTATAAGAACAGCTATAATATAAAATAACATTTGATTTTTTTAAAAAAAATTTACCTGGCCAGGTTACGAGAAACAATTTTATTTATATGTATAGTCTTACTTAAATAATTATTATAAAGATCACAAAAAATCTTAAATTACTAATTAATTATAATTATTTTTATACAGTATTTATTCTATATAATAGACAACAAAAATAATATTTGATTTGTAGATCACTATATATAAGCAAATAAAAATACTATATTTATCCTATATTTTCATATTTTAAAATAATTTTTTTTATTTTTTGCTTCTTTGATATCAAAAGAACCAAATATAATAAAAAAATTTTTTTTTTATAAAAATATCACAAATCCAAATAATTGATAAAAAAAAAATAATTCTTGTTTATATTAATTTAATAAGTACAAACAAGTTGTTTACAAAATTGGCTATGATCTAATAATAGTTTGAAAATTCTTAGTAAAGTACAAAAGGACTAAAAAATTATAAATAAACCTTAGTTTAGATATCTTTTTTACTTTAAAAAAATAAAAAAACTGCTGTATTAAAAAAAAGTATTGGAGAAAAAATACAAACCTCTATGCAGTATTATGAAGGATTTAAATCTTTAATATAGCAAGCAGATCATAACTAGGACCTTACAAAGTTTAGGATTTATTTCTATATTAATATCTTGAAACTTTTTTTATCTAATAACAATATAAATAAATATATAGATTTGTGTAAAAAAAATAAAAATAAAAATGTTTACTACTAGAGAAGTGTGATTTTTTTGATGAAATAAGTATAAAAATAGACAAACAATCCTGCCAGGTTTAAGTATAATATAGTACAGATAAAAGATATAAACATAAGTGTTTGGTGTTAAGTTTTAAAAGTGAAAGAATTTCTGTAATAATGTGATCATGTTTCATTAATAATATCAAAAATTCCCTAGTTTTTTTCAATGATTACAAATTCTACAAATAAAAAATTAATAAAAATATTTATATTAAAATTCTTGATAATAATCTTATACTATTTGTCTCTGCTATATGTCTATTAATTAGGTCAAATCTAATATTTCAACATGACAATACCTCTGTTTATAAAATAGTAGATTGGCTAAAATCAAAAAACATCAATTATATGAATTGACTGTTATAATCCCCAAACTTTAACCCAATAGAAAATATCTGAAAGATCCTAAAAGACAAAATTTAAAATTGTAAAGATTTTTAAAAAGTAAAAATGAGCTTAAGACAACCTTAAAAGAAGGCATAGACAAGTTTGGATGTGTCAGTTCTTTGGGCAGTTGTAAACTCAATACCACAAAGAATCAACACAATATTAAGTGCAGAGGGTCATTCAGTAAAATATTAAATAAATATAAAAAAAAATTTTGATGTATGTAAGGTAGAAATCAAATAAATAAAAATTTTATATTTTGTTAAAAATCGGGCGTTACTTTTGTTGCCTACTGTACAAGTATTCAATTTTATTTATAATGAAAAAAGAAATGATTTTAGATTATCGATTCAAAGTTTGTACTAGTTCGTAAATGGTTATTGATATAGCAAGTGAATATCTTCCAAAAGCATGAAATAAATTTTTTTGCGAAACAAAGTTTTCAGATTCGTTCATTTAAAAAATTTATGATAAACTTAGCATTAAATGTGGTCACAATAGGCAAATGTATTAGAGATTCGATTAAAGTGTAAAACTAAAGCGCAATTTGGAACTTGTTAATTAATTGGTGATGCGTTGCGTTATAAATAAGCTTTACTCTAAAGTGACTTAAATTCCAAAGTAATATACTCGATAAAATAATTTAGATCCATTGCAACTAGGGTTGGTCCGGTCGGTCCCGGTCCTAATAGGACTGATCAATTAGTGCTATTTAGTCCAGTCCGGTCTGGTCCTTCGGTCTTAAGAACAGTCTTTCAAATGCCGCAGTTATGATTGCTTTCAATTATTTGAATGTCCTATAGAATGATGTAATCACAATAGGCTATGCAACAATTTTGATCAGCTCTGGGCCGGTCTTTGCAAGGACTGATCCAACCCTAATTGCAACCTATGTTTATTTGAAATCAACCTATGTGGATTCTAAATCCAAAATAATTACATTCCAACGTCAGATTGACATAAAATTATCTACCCGCTTTATGAATACTGTATAAGGGCCATTGATACGTATGATTTTGTAATCCAGTGATTAGGAACGAATGTTTTTACATCCTTCGATTCATCTTGGTGAAACAAATCGAATGGTATAAAAACATTAGAATCTATTTGTGTTAACTCGATATTATATGATCTGCCACTATACCCATCCCGCCATATAAATAAAACAATAATAGCGTATTAAGTTATTCAGAAGATTTCAATATATATATATTCTAACAGTTTGATATAAATTAAGTAGCTTTTTATTATCTTTTATATCTCGCAAATCATAATCAAGTTTAGTCTCTAAACTAGAGGTATAGTCCTTCGGGTGTACCTTCAGTCTTGCGATAAAGAACTTTTTCACGCGCTTTCCTAAAATCTTCAGCGATTACTTTCATGCGACGTTCCCGTAGAGCAAGCAAACCTGCCTCAGTACAAATAGCCTAAATCACGTGGAAAGCAAAATAAGTATATATTGATTATATTTGTCCCTTTCAAACCTAGATTTTTTTTCAAAAAACTTACCTTAATATCAGCACCACTCAAATCATCTTTAGACATTACAAATTCCTCAAGATCCACATCTTCAGATAATGTCATTCTTCCCGTATGAATATTAAAAATACGACGTTTCGTTTTTACGTCTGGAAGTGGAAATTCTATCTTTCGGTCAATACGTCCCGGGCGAATCAGAGCAGGGTCTAATGATTCAATACGATTTGTTGCCATGATTACCTTTATGAATATAAAGGTCGAATTAATAATTTATTTACATATTAATATTAGAAGGAAATTCCTACAAATTAGTTAACCTTGACATCTCCTCTAGAATCAAACCCGTCTAACTGATTTAGAAGCTCTAACATAGTTCTTTGAATTTCTCTTTCGCCACCTGAATTGGAATCATATCTATAATTGAATGGTGTCAATTTAAAAAAAAAATAAAATAAAATAAATGAATAAAATGAATGTCAATTAAAATTATAAGTTCAAAAAGAATAAGGTTCACGTCTATATACCGTTTAGTTCCAATAGCATCAATTTCATCAATAAATACAATGGAAGGCGCATGTTCTTCAGCAACACGAAATAATTCGCGTACAAGTTTTGGACCATCTCCAAGATATTTTTGGATCAATTCTGAACCCACAACGCGCAAGAAAGTTGCAGATGTTTGATTCGCCACGGCTTTAGCCAAAAGTGTTTTACCTGCATATGCAAAGATATTTACTATTGGTTCGTAGATATCTTATTAAGAGAAATGTTGGAATTACCTGTTCCTGGGACTCCATATAGGATAACACCTTTTGGAGGTTTAATGCCCATTTCTTCATAAAGTTCTGGATGTGTTAGGGGTAATTCTACAGATTCTTTGATTTCTTGAATTTGTTGTTCTAAACCACCAATATCTGCATATGATTCTGTAGGTGCTTTCTCAAGTTTCATAACACTAACCATTGGATCAGTATCATCTTGAAGTACACCAACAACAGACATAGCCTATTAAGTTTATATGTTAATTAATGTATATGTTAAATAAATAAACCAATAAAACAACAAATAATACGCGTTTTGTACATACTTTATGATGTAACAAAATTGAACATCCTGGTTCCAACAAATCTTTATCCACAAAAGATAAAATGCTGACATAATATTCCGGTCCCGTAGAAGAAGAAACTATTGCATGATCATCGTCAATGATTTCTTCCAGAGAGCCCACACCCATTGGAGAACCACGTAAATCATCCACCCGGGTTCTTTCTTCCTGAAAATAGTCACATTCTTATTATCAACACCATTTCTATTATACAAAGGATTATAATGAAAAAAAAAACAGATATTTACTTGTGCCTTTTCTTCTTGTGGTTTTAATCTCTCTTGATTTTGAACAAACTCTTCCTCCATCAATAAATAATCTTTTATACGTTCCATTTTTAAAAGTTTCAGTCGACACCGCGTTGTAGGAAAGACTATCAAAGGGCAAGTGATCGTCAAGAAAATTGGTCAAACAGCTCACGGAAAAATATATGAAATTATTCACGGCTTATACCGGCAGGCAATTTAGACGTTGCGTCTGGGCCTCTTCTTTTTTTTTTACCAACACGAGTGGGAAGTGGTGGTTCCCATTTCTTTTTCTTATCTTTATCCTGTATGCAGTATTTAATGAGCTCATAAGCTTTAATTATAGCGAGATCGAACGAGAATAGAATAAAAAAAAACCTTATCCTCTTTGTTCCTATCATCACCACCGGGACCACCAAGTGGAGGAAGACCGCCAGGTTGCGTATTACCCTATAGGACCGAAAAACGTAAGCGATCTCTATCTTTAAAGTTCATACCGGACAAATTAAAGAACGAAAACAAGTTGCTATCCATACCATTTGCAAAAATTATCTTTAAAAAAATTTTTTTTTTTCACAAAAAAGTTAAAAGACAGTATTTATAATTTTACAAGGTGTACGTAATCACTAATTACGTATTTTCATCAGATAATGTATCTTTATTTTGTGTATCGATTGGTTTGATTGGTCGATCGAATGAATTAACCAGCCATTCTTATTAGACGAAGCGGAGTAAAAATTATGCTTTTATTGTTGTAAACAAATTAAACTACGTAATCTATTACTATATAGATACGTATAAAGATTAGAACATAGTTGTGA